TCCCGGGCCTGCCGTACGCGGGGCGGCTCCGGGCTCTCGTGCCCGTCCCTCGCTCGCACTGGGGAGTGCACGGAGCTGGGGCGATGGCGAGGCCCAGGGACCCCCCAGCCCCTGCCCCACGTCCCCACCGTGCTCTGTGACCTCCCGGCTCCAGCCCCCGACTGCGCAGGTGTCAGCTGGTGTTAACTTAGGAAATAAACTGGGAAGGGAAAGAAATAGGGGAAGGGAGAAAAAAGGCAAATTCTCCATCGGCATGTGAGGAGCCTCATCCCAGACTGGGCGTTCTGTCCCACAGAGGATTTAATCCCAGTCCACGCAAAGCCAAGGGAAGGTTATAGCAAGCAGGCAGGCGGCCAGAGTCGTCCACTGCTTTCTGGGCCCACCGGAACACAAAATGGACAAAACCAGATGAATAAAGCGAGGAGGAGTGACGTGCGGACACAGCCCCCCCCATCTGTGAGGTTGTGCAGTAGCTCTGGGTATTCAGCGCTGGGCAGCACGGGGGGTGGTCCCACCAAAGTCGTGCGCACCTCCCCGCGGCAGCTCGCCCCGGTTATGGGTAGCAAAGCGTTACCCAGACATCGAGTTTCCCAATACATAGGCACAGCCTGTCCCGGCTTCGTAGTAAAATTAGTTTCAAGAGGTCGTTTCCATAAGTCCCTCCCGACTGCGCTTTGCTCAGTGATTTGAGTCGGTGGTCTTCAGGGGTCGTTTACTTCATCCACTCCTCTTCTTCACCTTGTCCTTTTGGTGAACCCCAGCTTCTACTCCACCCCTTGTCCTTGCACAGACTCAGTTGCTCCAACTGCAGGGTTGGTTTAAGCCAGTTCTTAAGGCAAATTCCTGCTTCTTACCAAGAACTGTCCTTCGTAAGGAGATGCAAATCTTCCTGCCTCAGTTAGTTCGCGCAAGAGTTAGCAAAACATTTGAGCACTATCAATTCGATTCTCTGGGCTACACAGCGATCTAGACAATTATTACGCAGCATCTTGCCTACTAAGATTCCCTTAAGCCCTTCTCTCATACGAACCCTGCACCGTGGTGGGACCGGGCGCGTCCCAGGCCCCATCGCTCGCCCGGGGTCTCGCTGTCCCCCAGCCCACCTGGGCCCTCACCCACGCTGCTTTCCCCTCCCCCAGGTTTGTGGAGACGGTGGAGCTGCAGATCAGCCTGAAGAACTATGACCCGCAGAAAGACAAGCGGTTCTCCGGAAACGGCAGGTTGCGCAACACCCTAGGAAAGTGTTACATAGACATGAAGTTTCCCAGTACGCCTATACATAGGCAGAACCTGTCCCCGCTTCGTATTAAAATTAGTTTCCAGAGGTCATTTCCATAAGTCCCTCCCGACTACGCGTGCCCAGTGATTTGAGTCGGTGGTCTTTAGGGGTCGTTTACTTCATCCACTCCTCTTCTTCACCTTGTCCTTTTGGTGAACTCCAGCTTCTACCCCCCTTATTCTGCTGTCAGAACAACACAGCCGGTACCAGCCGGCTCCCCATCCTTGGCTATCCTCATACCAACCTTGGCTATCCTCATACTGACGTTGGCTATCCTCATACCAACATTGGCTATCCTCACACCCACACAGTGCCAGACGCTTTGCTCTCCTACACGCCTTCCAAGGCCTGTAACAAAGATGGGCCATTTCCTACTAATCTCTCCACTTCCACATTCCCTACAGTGATAATTTGTTACCTATAGTTTGCTCCATAGGATTAGTAAATTAATCTAAAACACAACGCCAGCAATTTAGGATGGATCTACAGCTGGCTTCAC